TCTCCCCGGGTCCCTCGGGGTTGGCAGCAAGCAGGCCAAGCCCGAGTCCGTCTGTCCTGCTGGGGCTGTGTGCTGTTGACACCAGTGGGCAGAAGTCCTTGGGAAAGTGAAGTCAAGTAGAGGGGAGTGGTCTGGGCTGTGCTTCTCCTGTTGCTTTCCTTGCCGTCCTTCTCATCTTCGAGTGGCGTGAACAACGTGCATGTATGACCTGAGCATAATTTTACGGCGTGTGTATCAACAGAGCGGTGCTGCCTGTACATGCCCAAAGCACTGGCTAAAAGTAGTATTTGGAAGTTCTCTTTTATTTTTATTAAAAGATTTTAACTGCTTTTAATGAAAAGTCAGTTGTGTGTTTATTTTTTTTACTTCAAAGCTCCTCGATATTTTTGGACAAGCTCCGATACTGTGATAGTCTCATATATAAAGCAGCTTGGTTTCTTTTGTCGCTGTGTTTGCTTTCTAAGGCTAGGCTTCCGAGCCGAAGACAAACCTGATGGTAGGGGAAATACAGTAATGCAAGCTGCAATGTACTATTGGCGTTAAATGTTTAAGGCTTGCAGTCTTGCTGTGTTTTTCTGATGCTGTGAGCAAAGATCTCTGAATGGATAAATAGTTTTAAGGACCATGCAGCCTGAATTAATGAAAAACGTGTTTGAAAAAGGTCTGTGGAGAATAACTGTGTGTGAGACAGCGGGACTCCTACCGTCTTCTCAGTAATGTAGTTCTGAAGGTTTCCTTAACTTTTCCTGCTGCTTTTCAACATAGAAATTTAGGGTTTAATGCTGACAATTTATTGCTGGCAATTTGTTAAGTGCAGAGTGACTGAAGTAATAATGTGGTGCCTGCTAGCACTAGCAGAATTTTCTTCTTTAGCCAGAGAGAGGTGTGTATAAGGGGGGGGAAGTATTTCAAAATTGTTTCAGATCTGTTGAAGTGTTTTATTTTTGAACCAAAATCAATATTTAATTGTAAGTTTTTTTCTTTATTTTAGTAACTTGAAGGTTGTTTTAAAAAAGTAGTTATGAATTTAAAGATTTAAACATTTCATTTTAGAATGTTAAAGAGAACAGGTCTTTGAATTTTATGATAGTTTTTTCAGAGTATGCAGTTGTGTCTGTGTTGCAGCAATATCCTAAAACGCTCCCTGCTGTCCCTGGCTTCACAGCCTCGCCTGCACCATGCCTGTTTTAGCTTCTTTGCAGTGATGTGTTAAACTAGGTAGAGTAGCTCTTTCAGATGGAAAAAATAACCAAAATAACTTTCTTGTTTGTTACTGGGTTATCTTGCAGCAGGATCCATTTCCTCATAAGGCTGCACAAATTCAAGCTCTCAGTCTGCTACCTAATGCAGGGATACTTTAAAAGCCTTAAGTTCTTAGATTAAACACAATTTATTGGTGGAGGAAATAAAGTTGGTTTTGTGATTTTTGTGATGAAGAAACCATAAGTAATCAAGAGTTTTAAATAGTGACCTAGCCCTTCTCAAAAGTCGAAAGGTATGTGTTTGACATGTACTTAACATACTCAGTTTGCACTCCATTAGGCCTAGACAGTTGTAACTGATGGGGGGTTTTTTGTAGATTTACCAAATTCAGCCTTGGACCCTATTTGTAACTTCGGATTTTTTATGTATTTATTTTTTTTTTTAAACTTTGTATATCATCTAGCAAAATACAGAAACTCTTCAGCACAAGCAGCGTGCTTTCTGCTGAGAAAGATGAACCTATTGCTTCCAAAGACAGCACCACTGAAGTGGCATCAAAGAGTCAGGAGGCTACAGCAGAAACACCAAAGCAGAAGTTGTTAGACCTTATTGGTAATATGAAAGTAGAAGTGAGCTACAGGAAGAAACTCCAAGAGTTAAAAACACGTGAGATCAAAAAGCAAGGCCTGGACAGTGAAGGCAGTATGCTTCAGAAAACTACCGAAGACACCCAGCGGTAAAGTATAAGAAACTTTTCTTAGCCTGTTTTCTCTTTTTTTTTTTTTTTTTTTCCCAAATTGTTTTTTTCATTATCTAGGGCAAAATAAAGCATCAAATGTCATTTGCAAGTATGGAAGAGAGTCTTGTAAGGGAATGTAGTGTAGATGTAGATTGCAGTAAGTCACAGGGGAGAATCTGGATAAAAGATGTTGTCTGCTTTCTATAATGTGTTACCTTTTTCTGCACTGAGACTCTTGAAAGGTAGCACTAGCAGCTGCCTGTGGGAAGTTATTTTAATGGGAGGGGGAAAATACTGTTCAGATAAAATACAGTAAAGCTGAGGAAAAAGGGGGGGGGGGGGAGGAAGCCAAACCCCAAATTTAGAATGGCACCATGATTATTGAGACTCGCGGATGGCTCCCTACCACGTTGTGTTTATAATGTAGGTCTGTGCTGCCTGTGGTCTTTGGCCACCTGAGTACAACAGCTTGTCAGTGTCGTTTAGCAGCTCATAATTAGTGCAACATAGGGCAAACCTAGCTTTCCCTCTGGCCACCTGCACCCCCATTTGGGATAATGTCTAACTGTAACTTCTGAGTTATTAAGACATAAAATGACATCATAGAAATGACAATTTAAATAGATTAAGGCTTGTATTTTTTCATATTTCCATATCTGTTGTGTCTCTTGCAGAGGCAGGCCTTTAAATCCAGAACTGGTGGAGGCTGCTTCTGCAGTTGCATCTTCCCTAACACTCAACAAGAAACAGACAGAATCAGAACTACTTGCACAACTAAGACGACACGAAGAAACCACAGATAAACAGAAAAAGGGGGGAACTATTAACCTACGGTCTGTATATTGAATGTTATTCTCAGTAATGTTTGAAATTCTGATTTTGCAATGTCATCTTGAAGGTGGCTGGGTTCTGTGTTGGAAAGATGGCCCTAAAAGATACATTTGGACAGGTTATACTTGGAATTAATGAATAATAGGAACATCATTGGTCTGGTTATACCAAACTCCCTAAATTTTGCCATCCTCATTCTAAAATGGTTTTGCAGAAATGGAATTGTTTTCCTGCCCAGGATCATTACTTTCTTGGACAGGCTAGCAAAATAACAGGTTTGGGTGTTGTTTTTTTTTCTTCCAAGCTTCTGAAATTCTCACACAATGGATGGATTTGTACATGTTTCAGACATTCTGTCTGGACTGGTGAAATTTCATGACAGCTCTGCAGAACTGAACTAGAGCAGCTCTATTTATATCCCCACCCTTCCTTTCAAAACTTTCCAGTCAACCCAAGAAACTCATCTCTTGGCTTAACTCCATTTCTAGTGTGGCTTTCAAACAGATGAGAAACATTTGTTTGGAAACTCAGTTGTGCATACTGCTCTTTTGGATGCTGGCTAAAGACAGATTTTTCGTTCTCTTTTTTTCAGCTAGTAGTCCGATAACTACTCAGAAAATAAGGCATTAAATCCAGGTGAAATCCTGAACTAAACAGAAAATTGGATCTTCAGCAAAATAGGAATGTGAAACCTTTATTTATGGCTGTTTGCGGTGTGAACTGCAAGCTGCTTATCATCTTAGTTTTAATTAATTCTGTGAAAATGAATTTGTCCCAAACCAGGATTTAAGTTTGACCTATGAATTATTATTTGTAGGTTGCTCAGTAAAGGATCTGCTTTGTATGTTTATCAATGACCTGCAGAGTAGCCAACAAACTAATGATGTTTGTGGCTGATGTCTGCCCTTTACGTGAGTGAAAACAAAGGAGGAACGTGACAGATGCTTGCAAATAAATTTAGTTAGATGGTTGCAAATAGCTTGGGAAGCACAGTGCTCCGTGAATAACTTTGTTGAACAAAATGCATGTTCTTCAGAGGTTGTGAAGGGAAAAGGAAGAAACTGTCCTAGTTTCCCTTTTAGCGTATATTCACGATTCTCTCTACCAAGAGCACTAATGGTGGTTGTGGAGGGTAGAATGAAATTCTCTCCAAATGTGGGAAGTCTGTGCTTTTTGAGGGGGAAGTGTGGTTTTAGGTAGTACACGCAAGCCTCTCCAAAGGCTCTGTGTGTGCGCTGTTTTCATGATGTTGTCTCAGCCTGAATATAGATCTTGAGAACTTGACAGAAGCTAATCTCTCCATAGGCTTTTGGAGCCAAAATGAATAGCTTTAAAGGTTATGGGTCTAGCTGTTTTATGTAAAATCAATGTGTTTCTTTTTTTTTTATTCTTTTTGTGTGCAGTGTTACAAAAAAACTTAAGGGACACTTACTAATGTAAGAAGAACAAATAAGGAATATTTTATATAAAGAATATGTTCATTAAACTATTAATTACCAGTGAGGTTTTTCCATCTCTGTCACTGGGGTTTTTAGAAGAGCAGAGCACACAAATGTCAATAACGGCATTGGCTGTGGGTGGCCAACTTAAATGTAAGCGGAACCTACTTCAGTTCCTGGTAAGATATTGGAGGACCATGCTGATACTGATCAAGCTAATACATGCAGTGGCTAAACCTCATATGGGCCTGCATCTATTCCTTAAGACAGACATACTCTTCTCTAAATGTGGTTGCTCTGCCTACTGGCAACAAGGGCTCGCTGTCCTCATCACCCATTGCACTTTCCCTGAAGCACTTACCCAGCTGTGGCTGCTGTGGAAGAAGGAAGGCATCTAAGGAAGTTGTAGTCTAAGCAAAAAGGCTTTTTTTCTGTTGAAAGAGAGTTTAAATTCTTCAAAAGTTTAAAAGCTGAAGTCCCTGCAACTGTGCAGTGCCTCTGTATAGTTGGTCAATGGGTTAAGATGTGCTATTACAATATTTTATAACATGCTTGTGGGTGAATCACTATGGTCAGAAAAATGCATTTTCCTCAACCAAAACCAGCCTTTTTGGTTGGCTAGGAATGTCATAGCTGGTTTGCTTTGATTTGAGTTGGTAAGCTCTATTCCCTGAGGCAGCTTTGTGAACTAGCTTGCTTCTACCTGCAAATATATGTTAGTATTTTTTATTATATGCTGAAGAGAACTGTAGAATAGTTGGGGTTGGAAGGGACCTTTAAAGGTCATCTAGTCCAACCCCCCTGCAATGAGCAGGTATGTCTTCAGCTAGATCAGGTTGCTCAGGGCCCCATCCAGCCTGTCCTTGAATGTTTCCAAGGATGGGGCACCTACCACCTCTCTGGGCAACCTGTGCCAGTGTTTCACCACCCTCTCTGTAAAAAATTTCTTCCTTATATCTAGTCTGAATCAACCCTCTTTTAGTTAAAACCATTACCCCTTGTCTTATCACTACATGTCCTTGTAAAAAGTCCCTCTCCAGCTTTCTCGTACGCCCCCTTCAGGTACCAGAAGGTTGCAGTAAGGTCTTCGCTGAGCCTTCTCTTCTCCAGGCAGAACAACCCCAACTCTCTCAGCCTTTCCTCATAGGAAAGGTGTTCCATCCCTCTCACCATTTTTGTGGCCTCCTCTGGGCCGCTCCAACAGGTCCATGTCTTTCCTGTGCTGAGGACCCCAGAGCTGGATGCAGCACTCCAGGTGGGGTCTCACCAGAGCGGAGTAGAGGGGCAGAATCACCTCCCTTGACCTGCTGGCCACGCTTCTTTTGATGCAGCCCAGGACACAGTTGGCTTTCTGGGCTGCGAGAGCACATTGCTGGCTCACGTCCAGCTTTTCATACAGTGGTACCCCTAAGTCCTTCTCCTCAGGGCTGCTCTCAATCCCTTCATCCCCCAGCCTGTATTGGTACCAGGGTTGCCCCAACCCCGGTGCAGGATCTTGCACTTGGCCTTGTTGAACTTCATGAGGTTCACATGGGCCCACTTCTCGAGCTTGTCCAGGTCCCTCTGGATGGCATCCCATCCCTCAGGTGTGTCGGTCACACCACTCAGCTTGGTGTCATCTGCAGATTTGCTGAGGGGACACTCAGTTAGACTCTGAGATGAATTTGGTACTTTCAACTTTCTGATCAGTGTTAAAACTGTTGATTTTAAAAAGTCCAGCAGAAGGCGGTAAAATGCTTTAAATATATTAGAAAGCAATTACTTTTATTCATACATGATTATTTTGTGTTGATTTTTATTTGACAACAAAGAATATGGGCAGTTTAACTTTTCATTTTTTTCCATAAAGGTTTTGCATTCAATATACTGACAGATTTAAAAAGCCAATATATATTCCTCTGTTATTTAAAACCATTTAAAAATGAGATACCTTCACAATAGTAGAGCCATATAATGCTTAACTGCAGAAAATTGGGATACTGCTATTGATATTTGTGAGGGTATCAAATAAATTGTACATTGTCCAGATCTTTTGGTTTGTACTAATTTTTTTCCAGGATTGTGCCATGGCCTCCAGAGGTCACTGTTGTATGCAGTTGTTTCACTGCCTTGTTTTGTAGACAGCGTGAGGACAGCGTGTTCACTAGGAGAGGAAAATATTAACGATACAGGAATTTATTTTTCTCAGTGTGGGATGAAGTTTCGCTCAGTGGAAATTACAACAGCACTATACCAAAATAGAATCAGCGGCACTACAAGTTGAAATTTCGGCTCCTGTTTTGGGTGAAGAAGTAGTAAAGTAATTCAGAGCTTAGGCTAAAGTATATCCAAAGATCTTTGGGTCTCTGTTTTTAGTGGTGTAATTATTGATTGGTGATCAGGAAGGAGAGAGAATCTGTGCTTGCTACAAAAGCTCTACCTCTTCCCATCTCTGGAAGGCAGAAGTATCTAGGAGCTTATTTTTTTAACCTCATGTTGTGACACGAGGTAATATGTAATATGGAACCACTGTAGGTACACTGGGGTTGGAGTATGAATTTGTTTTTTCATTACAAACGACATTAAAAACATCTTTGTAGTTTTATTTTTAGATAATACGGGGCATTTTTAATGATGGAGCAATGAATGTTGTTGTTCATATACCAGCGATGGGGTGACGTTAGGACTTTTCGGTGAGAGTATGAGTACCATTGACTGCATGTTCTGGTAGCTTGATACCGTAGTCTGTGCAGACCTACTGTGTAAAACCACAAATAACTCAAGGTGGGCTGTGAGAAGAGCTGCTCCAAGGAAGCCTGATCCCCCTGTAGCACAGGAACACTCCAGCCTTGTAGGTTGCAGCCAAGCCAAGCAGTTGGGCTGGGCCGCGTGTGACTGATGTTAGGAATTATCTGTCCTCAGAAGTGTGTCAAGCCTCTGGCCCAACACCAGCTCACTAATGCCAGTAGGCACTTCGTAGAGTAATTTCTAGTGTGAGATACGCAACAAATCTGAGATTGTTTTTTCTTTAAGATTAAAATGAAATGATTTCAAACTTGTTTTCAGATGCCTTTCTTTCAGAGCACGTACCTGAAGTGCTATGCTATTCTTGTTCTGCCGTTGGAAACCACATCTAAGACTGAAGAGAAAATCCTACTATGTTGCTGAGGCAATTAGCTTTTACAATCTTCCAAAGTATTTCTTTCTTGTTAAGAAAATCTCTTTTGACTTAACCTATCAAAAACATAGTTTGAACTTCGGTCAGATTTTCATAAAATGGATATGCAGTGTTTTTGACTTGGCCTGTTTTTGTTTTTTGAGACCGTATTTCTCTCTTAAAACTTGTGCGCTGCAATTTTGGATGACCGCATGTTACCGGAAGCGGCTGGGAGGAGAGGACAGCTATGAGGAAGAATTATCAGCTTGGTCTTTACCAACCAACAGACTTACCGGTTAAGGGGAAGAGGCAGAAAGGTGGTGTGTACATTCAGAATGAGCTGCAAACCATGCTGGAAGAGATCGGAGCATTTGTTCTTCACGTATGATTTTGACTACAGAATTGTGAAGGAAGATGTGGTCTGTTAATGCTGTAATATGATTATGCAATGCAACAGATTGCAGTGGATCAGGAAAGGTGACCTACTTATTAGGGTGGCATGATTGATCCATGTCAGCTGATGTGTGAGGGCAAGCTTCCTTTTGCTCTGCAGCAGCACAGCTCTGTCCCTGGGCAGTGTTGGTTCCTGTGCAAAAAACTGGTGATTTTTACCTCCCTATTTCAGCGTATTCATTGTATACAGAGAAATTCCTCGTGTACTTATGCAACATGCACCTAGTGCACTCTGTGACTATCGGTATGCAGATAGACGAAAATTTTCTTCTAGTTGGAAACTAAATAATTTTAAAGAAAGCATTCATTGTAGATTTAGTAGGCTACAATAGCACTTTTCATTTAATCTGTGTAGAATGTAACAACTGAGTTGGTTTAAAAAGTAAGACTTGAATGTTTGATGACTTAAAAATGGGTGTATTTTGTGATGCATGTATAATTCTGCCTTATGGAGGCTTATGAAAACAATTGAGAGTAGAGTTTCTGGTTAATACATGTGACAAACTTCCTTGCTTTGTCGATTTGTCGAGTTTTTACATTCATGTTTTTTATTTCAGCAATGTTATTTCAGAAATGGCAGTTAAAAGGCAGTCCCCAGCTCAGAGAGGTGTGAGGATATCCAGTCGCATTTCCTTGGAGTTGGATGAGAATGGTCAAAGAATCAAGCCTGGAAGATTGTCACCTCATTTTTTTGACTCCAGAAGGTATTTTTGTTGTGTTCCCTTCCAATAGAAGGAGAGTGCAAAAAATTACTAATGGATAATATTTTAGATGTAGTTGTGAATATTCATGTTACCATGATACTTCAGAGCTTAAAGAAATTACTTAGCACTTTTTTTTGAAAAATACTTGTTAGCATTGAAATAAACTTCTGTGAGAATACATTAGTTAATGTGCACTTTTAATATTAAATTTTAGATAATTAAAAATACTTGGTGCTGAAATGTAATTGTGTTTGTTTTAGCTAGTTTAAATTATTCTCACTTATGCATAATACAAATTTATATCACTTAACTTTTTGGGAAATGGAGGCTTTGAAGGCTTACTTTCATCTAATGGAAAACTGATTAATGTTCTGTGTTTAGAAAAGTTTCATCCGTTGCGTTGGGGTTTTAAAGGGATTTTAAAGTTGGTTTTGGTTGTTGTTTTTTTTATTTTATTTTTTTACCACCTTGTTGCAACTGCTAAGTCATTCTGTAATTGATTTCTCTATTGTCTGTGACATTATAATTGTCTATGAAATGTACTTTATAATTTACATGATGATTTCAGGGTGCTCCTTAAGTTTATCTTGCTGCTGTTTATGTGGCCAGTCTATTTCTTAATGAACCAAGGAGTGCTCTTTTTTTTTTTTTACTCTTGTAAGCTATGCTTTCTTGTCTGTGGTCTTTTGATTTTCCCGTGGCAGCTCATCATGGCATTCCTTCTCAGTATATTCTTTCTCTAGCAGTTCTGTTTTTAGTAAGATTAACTTCTCTAATCATTAATTTAGTTTGCAAATTAATCCCCTTTTCTTGGGGTTAGGGGCTGGAAGTTGAGGGAATCATTTGTGTTTAGATAGATAATGCTGAAGGCAGAATTTGGATAACTAAGAAAAAAAAAAAGGCATGAATTTATGGGGGAGTAAATGTGCAATATTCTGCCTTCTTTGGCTGAGACATCTATTTCAGTATATCATAAACAGAGAATTGTGACTTCCCATAAGGAACAAATTGTAACATATGCATCGAGCCATGTAGATCATGCAAAAACCTCCAAGAAGTGGCTATAGTCAGTCATTACAAGAACTTAGCCTGCTTGCTGAAATGTTTCTGGGTAACTTCCTTGTTCTTGAACTACCAAACTGTTAAGGTGTGTTAGGGAAGTATCTCTTGGGCCTCTTCAGTGTTAAAAGGCCAGCAAGCAGTGTTTTCTTTTCCTGATGCAAAGCTTGTAGAAAGTGCAAGAGGGCCTTCTTGTAATGGAAGTTGAAGGGAAGAAGTGGAACAAGGTTCTGGACCAAGCCCTCCTGACTTACGTATTTCTTTACTGGGATTTTCATTCAGCTATAAGCTGCCGGTTTGAGGAGCAAGGGAACTGACTTCATTATCAGTTGCTGAATAGCTCTATAGATATTTTCAATCCAGGGATAATTATCAGACAGAGTTGGTAGTCACATGAAAGTAATTTTGTTATTAGGCTATGATTCTTGACTGACTATAAGAAATACTTTAAGGTGTTGGATTAAAAGTTTTCTGAAGTTTGAAATAATAGAAATAATATGATCTAGAAGTATAAACTGAAAACCTGAGCTATTATGTGCTTATACAGTATATGTTATTTTATATCTTTGCTAAACTTTTCATTTATTAACATATTGCAAAGTAAAGTGAATTCCATTTACGCTTGAGAACGTTTGTTTATGATAGCTGAGAAGCTGTCTCACCCTCTTTATGTGATGAAACTGCACTTGGTATATAACTTCAGGAACAGTACCTTAAAATAGTTTTTAAAATCCCTGTAATGAGCAAACTGTCTCCAGTTTCAGTCCTAAGTTTCCTCCTGCATCCCTGAAAATCTAACTAGTATACTTATCTATTGATAATGTGAAAAGAATGGGTAGGAAGAATATCTAAGTTTATATCGAGTTAGTAGATTTCAGTGAAATGAGTGATGTTACTTTATAGTAACTTGGACTAGTAATTTTAAAATAAATGTTCTTCCAAGTTATGCTTGTATCTTCGGCCAACGTTATTGGGAGTTACACACAGATAGGAAAATATAATCCTAAATCAACATTCTTTTAAGGCTCTGTAATTAGATTGCTCTGTGCTGAAATAGGTCCAGGGTAGTTACATCAGTAAAATGTAATATGACAAGAGCAGGTTTGCAGAAGCAGTTGTAGCCATGAGAAATCTGCAGTAAATGCAGAGAGGTGAAATTTTAAGGTCAGGAAGGGCAAGTATTGCCAGGGTAACAGTGAATATGTAATAACATAAAGTAGGAACTATTAGAATTTCAGTGGAAACCTGGAAGATTGTATGATTAAAAGAATCATTTGTTCTAAAGTTAAGTGTGTTCTACAGTAAAGGCATTGGTTTTTCTTTGTTTCCATTTATAAGAAAATTGATTTTGATAATAAATGAACTCTTGTTCAACTCCTGTTGAACTCTTGGATTTTTAATTTTTTTTTTAGCATAGGCTTATGCTAAAGATAAATATGATTAAGAATAGATGATTGGAGTGAAATATTTTTATATTCAGAAGAGAGAGCATCAGGGTGATGCTATTTAAAATATATCATACAGATATACTTTGAGTGTTTGCCATATGGCAGAGAAGGTGGCTGTGTAATCTTCCAAAAAGGCTATTTATGTCATAAAGCAGGAATTGTTTGATTTAGCTGTTGCCTTTTCTCTTCCTGAATTGCGCAATATTTTTACAGGGGAAAAAACCCAAATCACCAGATTCACTTTTTAGTTGCAACTTTGTAAAATTGCTTGAGTATGGTGGTTTGATACTGTTTAGCTTTGTTCAGATTCCTAAATATTTCAGTAAAAAATGACTGCAAATATAATGTTTGATTTATGCTCATTCTTTCACACAGAAGTGTTTTGGGAAGCTCTGTTACAGACGAATAATGAAGTCATAAACACTTTCTTGGGTTAAAAGCCTGAGGATTTAGTGAGAGTCACTATCTCATTTCTTTTTTTCCTCCAGAGATCTGTTAGTTCATGAGAATATTTTGTGCTTTTAAATTTGTTATCTGGCAATGTTGTGAAGTGTTGTGAAATACTAAATATCGTTTTTCCTTTTTGTTTATAGAAGTCTCAAAGTAGGAAGGAGGCTTAATATATTCTCTAAGGCTTCTACAGAAACAGAAAATGCACTGGAAACAGGTTAGTGGAAATTCAATAATGAAAAACCCAGTGAAGCCAAGTTCTGAAGTTTTAGAATATCAAGAGATTCACTGTTGTGAAGGAGACTTAGACCTGTTAACTTCCTGCTTTCAGACCTATAAAAAAAGGAATACTGTAATGTAACTCTGATTTTTAGTAAACAAGACTTCTATGCAGGGTAATAGATTAATGTTTTCTGTACTAATCAGGACATTCTGTTACTGAACTTGAAGGGTAAAACTGGCTTTTTGTCACTAAGGCCTGTCTGTCTTCTGTGAGTGTAAAACCAGCCTGGAGAATGGCTATGTTGGCCCAGTAGCTTATTTGGTCAAGTTGGAAGCTTGCTGCGTTCATTTTACGGCGAAGAAACACAAGGCTGTGATCCCAGGGAAACAAGTGTGTGCTAACAGGTGGCTAATCATAAGCAGGGTAGAAAAAAAAACAAGACCATGCATTCAGTTGCTGTGTGGACTTCTCCTGTTTAGTGTTGTAAATGTAGCTTGAAAGATCCTATAAGTGGCTGACAAATGACACCTTGCTTTACCTACTGTAAAGCTCTTCATATATGTTTTGAATCATAGAATGGTTTGGGTTGGAAGGGACCTTTAAAGGTCATCTAGTCCAGCCCCCCTGCAATGAGCAGGGACACCTTCAACTAGATCAGGTTGCTCAGAGCCCTGTCCAACCTGACCTTGAATGTTTCCAAGGATGGGGCACCTACCACCTCTCTGGGCAACCTGTGCCAGTGTTTCACCACCCTCACTGTAAAAAATTTCTTCCTTATATCCAGTCTGAATCTACCCTCTTTTAGTTTAAAACCATTATCCCTTGTTCTATCGCAACAGGCCCTACTAAAAAGTCTGTCCTCATCTTTCTTATAAGCCCCCTTTAAGTATTGAAAGGCTGCAATAAGGTCTTCGCTGAGCCTTCTCTTCTCCAGGCTGAACAACCCCAGCTCTCTCGGCCGTTCCTCCTAGGAAAGGTGTTCCATCCCTCTGATCATTTTTGTGGCCCTCCAACAGGTCCATGTCTTTCCTGTGCTGAGGGCTCCAGAGCTGAACGCAGCACTCCAGGTGGGATCTCACCAGAGTGGAGTAGAGGGGCAGAATCACCTCCCTCGACCTGCTGGCCACGCTTCTTTTGATGAAGCCAGTTGGCTTTCTGGGCTGCGAGAGCATGTTGCCAGCTCACGTCCAGCTTTTCATACAGTGGTACCCCTAAGTCCTTCTCCTCAGGGCTGCTCTTAATCCCTTCATCCCCCAGCCTGTATTGGTACCAGGGGTTGCCCCAACCCCAGTGCAGGGCCTTGCATTTGGCCTTGTTAAACTTCATGAGGTTCACATGGGCCCACTTCTCGAGCTTGTCCAGGTCCCTCTGGCTGGCATCCCATCCCGCAGGTGTGTCAATTGCACCACTCAGCTTGGTGTCATCTGCAAATTTGCTGAGGATGCACTCAATCCCACTGTCTGTGTTATTGATGAAGATGCTAAACAGTACTGGTCCCAATGTGGACCTCTGAGGGACACCACTTGCCGCTTATCTCCATCCAGACATTGAGCCATTGACCGCTACCCTCTGGATGTGGCCATCCAGCCAACTCCTTATCCACCAAATATACCTGCCAAAACTCATGTAAGATAAAACCAAAAATCAGTGGCGAAACAGGTATGACCCACCTTCATATTCACTGTATGGCATGGCTCTGCAGGAACAGTCTGAATGCCACGTAAGGGGGATAGCTTCCACGCATGAAGACTTAGCTTTACTACAGACTGGGTTTTGCCTAAGAGTGTGTGAATATCGGCAAGTCATGTAAAGAACTCCCTCCCTCCCTTTTCTTTCTGAACAATGAAACTGCATTTTTAGCATCTTTAATACGCTGATTTCCCTAAGCTATTCTGAGGCCCTTTGGAAAAAAGACTTTATTCGAGTGTAGTGACTTAGAACTATATACAAAGCCAGCAGCTGTAGAAGAAACAGTATTCCTCTCTGATATCTTAGAAAATGATACGTATTTGTTTCCGTTTCGAGAGTGGGACTGTCAGTTTTTGCCAGATTCTAGCTGAGTAGTTTTCTCCTTTTTCTTACACTTGAAATTGCAGGGAGAAATTAACTTGTTTACTTAATTTCTTTAGTAAAATGTCAGATAGTGCTATTTACATATTTTCAAGCAGCTGTGAGCTTTCTGAATGCAGCCACCTCTGTGGTGGACTGTGAAAGTTGCTATTAGAATGGAATTCAATTTGCTGTATTTTAAGACTGCAAATTTCCTTAAAATTGTTCCATTTTACATATAAAAACATAAAGAATGATGCAGCATTTGTTTTTAGTGATCTTTACAAATGTGATGTTCAAGTAACTAGCGTTTGTGTTGAATCAAATCTACTCAGGTAAAATGGTGAGAATTTAACCTGTCTTTTTTGCATGAGCACGATGCAGATGCAGCGGCACATAGTAGTCATCCTAGATAAAAAGTTGGTACACGCTTTTTTTCTTTAACACAAAACTAGAATGTGCACAAATTGTGTAAGAGAGCAATTGGACTTTATTTGATTTGTAATTAGATATTAAGAAGTAAGCTTCTTTCAGCTTTTTATGTGGTGTTTCCTTGTTTGATTCCAGGTAGCCTTGAGGAAATCTACAATATATTCTAAGCCAGGAAGCTTATTACTTGGCTTGCTGACTAAGCCTGATGACAAATATTTTTTTTTTGCGTTAATCTCGGGGAAATACTAGTGTGATACTTGATATCTTGATTAATTTGCTTTCACTTTCTTGGTTCATATTAGTGGAGATAATGAGTTAAAATATTATTTATACATGACAGAAAAGCAAGTTCTGTGTTTTGTATTGAATATTTATTTTGAAAACCTGAATGTTAACTGGAAAGTAAATTGACATCCTGAAAAAATTATTCATAACTGTTAACATAAAATATCAGTATCTGTTAACATAAAATGTCAGTATTATTTTCTGTTTCACAGAGGTGAAAATATAATGTTTATCACCTTTACTGCAAGCTTGAAAAAAAATGAGTTTCTGCTCTCTTCTATTAGAAGATTTATTAGTAGCCCATTATTAGAACGTATTCTTTAAGATGTGGACAATAATTTCATTCTGGTACGGTTTCTCATGTTGTTGTCTTTTATCTGTATTTTATTCCTGCCTTCAGCCCTCAAATCAAAGTAGGCAGCTAGGAAATATAGTTCTGGAAATTTCCCTGCTAAGTAAGAAATAATTTGAAAAAGTATCTTCTGATTTAACACAAAAAATGAAAACAGTTTTCAGTATGTAAAAATACTGTTTGCCCTTTTCATTTTGTTTTTTCTTAAAGGAGGGGGGAGATTTTTTTTTTAAATCCAGTTGAGTTGTAAGCCACTGAGCCAAAGATGAGATTATATCTTAATTTCAAATACTTACACTTATGATTAGTAAAATAATAGCTGATTGGCCATGATCCACTTCAAATGGACTGTAACATTTGAATTCACATAAAGAGCTCTGTTCCAAGGAGCTTAGGGTGAACTGATGTCGGAGGAGACAAGAAAACAAAGGGGAGCACCAGTTAAGCCAGCTCATGAGAAGGCAGCCGAAGGCACTCCCAGCAGTTCCTCCCTGTCCTCTGGTAACAGCTTGTTCCCTTCACTTCAGCAATGCGGTTCAGTCTGGGCTCATGACCAGCTCTCCTGGGTGGAGGGGCAGGAACTCCTTAAGAGTAACTCTGCTGTCATATGAGCACGCTTTGATTAAAAAAAAAAAAAAAAAATTATATGCATCAGGAAAGATGCATCCCTAAAGGGACTGTTTGACTTTGGGAGAATAGGAAATCTGGATTTCTCAAGCCCAAGAGACAAAAACTGGGATGCTTATGAGTGTTGGGGAAGGAATTGCCATCATTTGTAGATTGAGCTGTCTCCCTGAAGGAGAGTATAGTTGTGAAGTACCTGAAAACTCCTGTAGTAAGCAAGATTCCTTTAGCAGAGTGCACCAGTCAAGTTCAGAGTTTGTCCTATGTACAATTTGTGAAAGACAAAAAGGAAAAAAAAGATTGTGGAAAAATTAAATTCCTGCTCTGTGTGAAAGGCTTAAAAATAAATTGTCCCCTAGGAGTTCAGAATACGTTTTCACCAGACATTTGAGAATTTAATGGACTTTCATTTCAACAGAGAATTCTCATTTGAGAAAGGTGATGCTGGCATCTGAGGTAGAAAAATTTGCACAGCTGAAAGTATTAGTCTCCATAAAGGTTAATGTTAAAGGACTTTGTTTTAGCTAGTGAGATGTCTTTGGCATGCTGACAGATCTTTACAAAACTTCTATTTTAGTATCTTCACCAACAATTTGGGATCTGGAATTTGCAAAGGAGATTGCAGCAATAACTGCACAGCCTCCCCGAAACGGTTTTGAGGAGATGATCCAGTGGACAAAAGAAGGAATACTGTGGGAGTTCCCAATTGACAATGAAACTGGTACGTGCACTGTTAACTTTTAATATCTGTCTATATTTATCTTTTTTGAGAATTAGAGCATGTTATGACCTTTGGCTGTTTTAACATAGTGTTTCAGCTATGAGTCATTCATTTGATAGTAAACTAATATAACTTTCCAGCTGTCCCAAATCAGAGGTGCTTCAGATGAACTCATTCTGGCACTCTTCAGGTGAAGTTCTGCAGGTGGTTTGGCTGATCTGAGGACTGGCTGCTGCCAAAAAGGGGAGAACTCCTGCCCTCCCTCCCTCCCTTTCTCACTCAGCCCTGATGCTTTCAACACCAAAAGGCCATTCAAGTCTATTACATAAAACTTTTCCTATGCAACTTCTTTAAAGAAGCATCTAGCAGAGGATGGAGAATCTTAAAACTGCTGCGTGTGTTTTATAATGCTGATTCTGTTCTTTGGTGTGGCTCTCAGACCAAGTGCTAGCCGGATCCTGATCAGCTATCTGCCAGTTCCATATCTGCGCCATCTGAGTGTTAAACAGTTGTTTGCTCCCTTTGTTCTATGTGTTTTGTAAGAATAAACAGTCCCAATATTCACTCACTCTGGGCATCGTATCTTAACTAGACATCTTTGTACACGGTATTTACTTTTATTACCATTTTAAAATAAAAGAAAAAAAAGCTCTGTGTGAAGTTAAGCCAGCAGAGAGAGAGAGAGAGCGCGCATGTTAAGGAAGGGAAGAACAACTACCCAAAGCAAGTGTACACTTTAGGAAAGGGGACTTCATAACTTGAGGGAGGGCTTGGCTGTGGTTTTTTTTTTTTTTTTTAAACTTTAAAGACATCAAACAGAACTACTTTAGAATGATTCAGTCACTGAAAGCAAAACAGGTCTGAAGCTCGGAGTCTTTGAAAATCTGTCCTATACTGAGTTGCAAATTGCATAATGTGGTTCATCGTTTCTTGATGTTTATTCTCATCCTATTTTGGCAGTTTCTTCACAGAATTTAATCATGGTCCCAGAATTGATCTGTTCCATCATGTAGAAATCCAAGTATACTCTAGTCATGTTTTTGCAAGCTTAAAACCACTGTGGCGAATGGTTTTTCTGTTGTTGTAATGTGGCTGGAACCCTGCTGTCTGGGGCCGTAAGTGGACCAGGCGTCTTTGGTGGCCAATGGTTTTTCTGTTGCAGCAATGCGGCCGGAACCGTGCTGTCTGGGATGGGGTGGCGAATGGACAAAGAGTCTTTACATATACTTAAACAAGAATCTGTATTGATTTGTCCACAAAGGCTAGTCATGTGGAAAATTCCAGTGGAGTGTTCCAAAATCTATCACCTCTCAGGCTGAAATATCAAGTCAGTAAATTCCATCCTATCAAACTGCCAGCCACAGGCTATTAATCAGATCAGGTATGTCAAAGCACAGTTAAAAGCTTGAGAACCTTGCTCCAATTATACCAACATATGGTAATTTCAGTGGCTCTGCAAAAGAAAGATGCCCCTTCCTGCTATTAATTTTGCAGTTTTGTGACAGTCATCTCCCTCAATAGGAGGACATTACCTCAGCTTGTTCTGTGTCAAGAAACATGTGATTTTTCTTTTATGCCACAAGCATGTGGCTTTAAAAACATAAGTGTAATTCAATTTTTCTATTGAGGAAGCATGTATACTCAACTTCTAGCAGTATGAAAGCCTTTAAAGTTTTAAATATAAAAAAGAAAGAAGACCTCTTATAACTGTTTTTCTTGGCTCCAGAGCATCTCCGGTGTTCTCATTAGAGTGCTTTACCAAGGCACTGTGCTGTGCTTTGAGGCATCAGGGCAAGGTCATGATTTTTAAATCTTTGCCGGCCTTGGTGCAAACATCTGAAGATGTGGCTAGACGTACCGGCTTGCCGCAGTGGCCAGTAGCAGTCTTCACTCCCCACCCGCTGCCCTGTTGCCTGCTTCTGACTGTATGTCCTTTCCCTTATCTGATGCAGTTGAAGTCACTGTTAGGCAGAAACCTACCTTTTTTTTCTCTCCATCTGTCCAACCTCTGATTAATTTTTACCAGATTAGCAAACCATTAGTATAGCTTGCATAACAATGTTCTCGCTCCTCCAGTCCTTTCTGCTTGTCTCTTCTGCTTCTAGGAGCTTTAGTTCTGCTCTGTGACTTGCAATGGCAAAAAGTTGGGAAAAACACTGATTTCTGGCCCTTTTAAAAATTATTTCTGTGCGTTTATGCTTTGATGACTCAAATCCTGAGGAGTGCAGTTGTTAAGAAGGACAGTGCAGATTATTGGTGCTACTTTGCTTTAGCACCTCGTTCTGAGGAGCAAATGCTTCTGGTTGGCCAGAGCGCGTTACGGCAGAAGTAACAGGCTTAATAGAAGTCTCAGAAAATTAATGCCTCAGTTGCCCCTGATGGCTTCTGTAGGCAAAAGTTCACTGAGTCCTGTGCTGGCCGTTTTGCTGACATGCAGAGAAGCATTGGATCAGTTTGCCACGAGAGGTGGCAAATGTTACACAACCATTTTGGGGGGGGGTTGCTTTACTAATTCTGTGTCTATTCTAGGGACTTACTGTAAGAGCATGATTTATTCTAAAAATCCTAGAATCATAGAATGGTTTGTGTTGGAAGGGACCTTTTAAAGATGATCTAGTCCAAACCCCCTGCCATGGGCAGGGACATCTTTCACTAGATCAGGATACTTGGTCATCTTTATAGCATGTCAGCAACACTCCCTATAAGGATGGACATCTGCATTTGAGATGTCATCTTTAAGGCAAGGTTGGTCATGTCTTGGAACATGGTTAGTGTTTGAGCTAGAGAAGTTCCCCAGATTTTCTGCTTTGTAGTATGTAGGGGATTGGAAGTAGGATGTTGAGAGTGGGTGACTTCTTGCTTTGAGGTTTATAAAGAAAATGCTCTACTTTAGGCTCCCACCATGCATGTTCTTTCAAATTAGGTTTCTGAGGAGAGAGCAAGAGAGGCTGAGGGACAGGCTTGTTCTTCCCATGCAGCTGGAGTTACGGCTTGCTGGGGGTGGGGGGAGTCATGCCAGCATATCTCATCTAATCAGTTCCCACCAGAGGTCTCAGCCTCTGATGCTTTGGGCAATTGTGGTCTCTTTTTGTGATGCACGCTTTACTTTTTTGAGGACTGAAGTATGTGGTCTAACTGAAATGTTTGGACTTAACACTTCATCCCCAAACCATACATCATGTCTTTGACAAATGGGAGATCAAAATACATGATGTAATATTTCCTTCTGACCTGCATTTTTGTGAGACTATAAATGGTTTAATTTCTTTTGGGTTAGAGATGAAAATTGGTGAAATTGTTAATTAGCCACAATCTCTCCTAATACCCTGTATCTATCCCCAAAAGAAGAGCATCCAGAAGGCCGAATTTTACTGTCAGCATTATTCACATTCTTTCAGTAGTGGGTTCGTTGGTTTAATTCTCTTGGATTTTTGTGACCAGCAAAAGTATGGAAATCTGGAAAGGATGTTAGCTTGTGAAAGCAACCAGCAGCATCCAGGTACAGTGAGATTTCACCTCCTCTTGGTGAGGGAAAGTCATGGGTGGCATGGTAAAAGGATCATCTCTGTGCTTCTGTAAGTGGACATATATTTCTACTGTGCTTGGAAACCTACCTTCTGAAGCTGATGGGACCTTTTTGTTTCCCTTTTAACATAAAAGAAAAAGAAGAGAGCTTCTGAAGAAGGAAACGTGCTTTCTTTTTCAAGGACAAGGGAGATAAATGTGGCATGTAGCTGGTATTGATATACTCACATATTTCTGGGAAAAATAGAGGTATTCCCCAGCTCCTTCAGCTATTGCAGTACCTAAAGTTTAAAACAGGAAAGAAATAATGCAAACTTAACGAATATAAGCTGAGAGACTTCTCCATCCCAGAGATGTGCATCATTTCTTCTGAAACTGTAGAAGCTCTAACACAGGAGAAAGCCTAGGACTGACATGGCTTAATTACCTCAATTTTAATACTCCTGATTTAATGTTGTCAAACATTGTGGTATCCTAGCTAGTATAGAAAAACACGTACACTTATGTCTGTGGTGTAGACATCCATTTTTGTCATCTGGAAATGTTCATATGCAATATTTTTCTCTAATAACAGATTTTTACTTAAAGGTGCAAATGTAATTTACAAATCTATAGCAAATGGGGATCAAATAAATTTTTTCCTGTATCCCTAACTGAAGAAAAATCTTTCAATTGCAACTCCCAGTTTGCTGTGATTTTTTTATCTCAGAATTGGGAACTGCGAAAGCAGCCTTTTTTCTGTATGTAGGAGTTCGTGTTCTGAGTCTTTGTCTTGTGCGTGCTAGCATCGTAGTACGAACAACAGCGAAGGAAATCCACAGGACAGAGAACAAAACTTTACCGTAGGGTCTGAGCTGTGGTTGGTTAGAGATCTACAGTAATCCCTTGTCCCGTGTTCCTGTGGATGCTTTTGAATGCATCATCTTTTGCCCTGGTTATGACTCAGAAGTAGTAGCTGGTGAGATACACAACATTTTTACATCGGCATACACTCACAGATTCAGAAGGTGTTAGAAAAACAATTTTATGTGCCCATTTGATAGCAGTAGGATGTTAAAACCATGACTTGGAATGAACATGCAAGTGTGTGCTAGCTGTTCAGTATTAGATACTTCATGAGGTTGCCTCATTTGTTCAAGACTAGCTTGTATTCTTTAATCCTCTGCGGAATTTAGGCAATCAGTGTTTTCTTAAAGAATTTATTAAGCAAATGTCCCCAATCTAAAAGGTGGTACTCATGATGAATCAAAATTTTCACATATTGAACAAACCGGTTTTTAGCAAGAAGATTGATTTATTTTTTTTAATTATTCCCCCCGCTCCTGCTCTGGTATCAGCTTTCAGCGAGATTGCCAGCCAGAACGTTGATTTAAATATTAGATATTCTTATAAATGAGAGCACAAAATGGAAGTAATAGGGTAGACAGGAGTATGATATATGCTGATGTTTTTTGTGTGGAGGGAGAAATTAATGTCTTAAAATTCTGCAGTTTCTTCTAGTTCTGTGTGGTTGGCTTAACTGTGCAAAAGAATTAAAAGGCACAGAACAATTAATTTTAATAATTTAAGATTATTTGCAAACTTTATCGCTTTTTCCTTTGTTAAATTTGCTGTTATATTATAATAATAACTTTGTCTTTTTTTTTTTTTTTTTTTTTTTTTTTTTTTTGTCCCTTCTGTTAGGGATGGAGGATGATGCTGAATTTCATGAACATATCTTTCTGGAGAAACACCTCGAAGACTTTCCCAAGCAAGGACCTATTCGCCACTTCATGGAACTAGTCATCTGTGGGCTTTCAAAAAACCCATACCTCAGTGTTAAACAGAAGATTGAACACATTGAGTGGTTTCAGAAGTATTTTGAGGAAAAGAAGGAACTTCTTCAAGAGATTTGAGACTTGGGAAAGTGCTTAACCTTGAAATGAACAATCATTACGTCAAAATTGATGATTTCTTATAATGGAAATACTGTCAGTGCATAGTAATCATGTGACCTGAAAGTTGTATTTTAAATAATAAACTGAAAGGTCATATTTTCATGTGTGTATGTCCATGTATACGTAGATATTTTTTGACAACAAAAGAAGGTACTGAAAAGTACAGCTTTTGTAGATTGTGCATTTAAAATTTAGTTTATCAAAATTGTTGTCTTTTAAATTTGAAACTAGTCTTTGACCATACAAAATATTAGGTCTAATTCCACTTCTTACACCCCTCACGCTTGGTGTGTATCCTGACAGGTTTGATGATATTTCCCATTCTGGAAAACTTGAAATGCTTTTATTTTTAAAAACTCCTGATAAAACTTGAAGTTTGAAAAGCTGTTACTGAGATAGTAACAGTTCATTTTGGTAATTCATTAAATACACTGGTATTTGGATGGTATTAATCCTTTCTATCCTCCTTTCACTAATTATCTTTATTGGTTAATTTTAAAATTTTTGGTAATGACTAAGTCATTTGAATTGAATGCCTGTTAGTTCATCTGCTTAATGAAGGGCTATTGTGTTCCTGAGGTGTGCACAGCATAATACCCGTGAGTTATATAGAATAATAAGAGAAGTCTTTCCTACCATCCATACATCCACTTCGAAGCTTTTGACCAACTTCCCATCAGTATTTATTGTTTAAAAATGGGTCTGGTTGTCAAGTAATCCATAAAGTTGTGTTTTGTTAGAGCAAGTAGTTTCACCATTACTACAGTGTTTGGAGCTGAGGCCTTATCTCCTGCACCTGCAGGGCTAGAAACAGGACTTGACGTTGCTGGCAAGGAGAGTTGTCACCTACAGATTGCTGTTGCATGATGCCACTGCTGTTTTCTGTCTGGTCCTCTGATGTTGGTGAAGTAACTTAATATTTTCTAGGTGATCCTTTATTCTAATTGAGTGCGTATGGTCCTTCGTGTCTATTAAGCCATTGCAATTTATTTTACTTCAGTTGTCTTTTTTGTTAAATTTTCATCCAGAATTACTCACTCAGTCATTCAGAATCCTGGATCACGTCTTGCTTCATATGCAAAGTGATTTTTAAATCAGAACTACAAAAAAGCAAATGAAAAATAAAGAGTTGGCCTTTTTCTATGAGTTGTAATATTGTTGCTGTGTTCTGCTCATCTGCAGGACATGAGTTTTCCTGTCTGGCAACGAGCGAGACCTGGGCTGTAGAAGGGAAAAGCAGCTTTTTGACTTTCTAGCTGTAAGAATAGCAAGGTTCAAATTCTGCAGACATTTTCAGAGGCTTCCTGGCTTTGTGTCCTGGTTTCGGCTGGGATAGAGTTAATTTTTTTTGGGGGGGGGAGGAGCTGGTATAGTGCTGTGTTTTGGATTTAGGATGAGAATAATGTTGATAACACACTGATGTTTTAGGTAGTGCTGAGCAGTGCTTACACAGTCAGGGACTTTTCAGCTTCTCATGCCCTGCCAGTGAGAAGCTGGGAGGGAGCACAGCCAGAACAGCTGACCCAGACTGGCCAAAGGGCTGTTCCATACCGTATGATGTCATGCTCAGCATATAAACTGGGATATTCCAACCATATGACATCATGCTCAGCATATAAACTAGGGGGGAGTTGGCCGGGGGGGGAAACTGCCGCTCAGGAACTGGCTGGGCATCGGTCAGCGGGTGGTGAGCAATTGCATTGTGCATCACTTGTTTTGTATATACTTTTATTATTATTATTTATTATTTTCCCTTCCTCTTCTGTCCTATTAAACTGTCTTTATCTCAACCCCTGAATTTTACTTTTTTTTCCCCTATATTTTTTTTTTCCCAGTTCTCTCCCCCCATCCCACTGGGCGGAGGAGGGAAGCGAGTGAACGGCTGTGTGGTGTTTAGCCGCCTGCCAGGTTAAACCACGACACTTTGGAATGGAGAGAGTGAGAATTATATCAAACATCTCCATTTAGTACCAGGATAGTTTTAATTTTCGGTTTAATGGCCAGACACGTTTTACTTCAAAAATACCATTCTTCCCAAATTTCTACCAAACTGATGCCCAGCCTGTGTTCTGCTGTATTTCAAGCCTTTTCTAAAACAACGTACAGTGACTTTGAATTCACCACAGGCTTTTAGAAATAGCTCCTCTGTGTATTTGATCTAACCTGTGTTTTGATATGAAAGACGAGACACTCGCAAGCTTGGCTCTTACTGGAAGACGTTCGGGGAACATTAGCTGTGTAGGAGAGTATTGGATTTTGCAGCACTGGGAGCGAGGTGAATGTTATTGTTTAAACAGATTCATTAGGAGGTCGGTACTTTGACAAGCTCTTAACAAGAGCTCTTGGTGCTTAGGATCTTTGGAAAGCTGTAGTAATTCCTACTTAGGTGCTTAAAAATAGATTTGAGAGTTAATACTAGGCAACAGGATTTGAATAATCAGACCTAGCTGCACATACATACGGATCCTTACTGGGGCTGCTCAAGGCACATTAAGAGAGCCCAAGTGGCAGGACTTTTATGTGTGTGGGTTTTTTGGTAGTTCCGAAGGAGCCAGCTTGCAGGAATTTAAAGCATTGCTTACAGATTAGTCACTTAGAAGCATAAAAATCACCCCTTTTCTTTTGCAGCCCAAAGGATAAAAGCTGTCCGCTGTTGTCCAGAGCGGAGCGAGTGCTGCAGCTAGTAATTCCCACGCTGGAGTCGTTCGGGCTTTTCTTATGATGGTTGGTTTTCCTCCTCTTGTAACTGGTTAGGTGGTATTATGTGTAAATTAATGGACTCAGCATTAGGATCTGTCCAAGGCGAAATAGTGTTTGTTATCTTCTGCGGTCTTATGTTCCCTTCTTTATGCATGAAGCTGAGGCCTTGTTAACACGCTGCTAATGCTATACCTCCATGACACCCGTGTTGGAAAGCTGGCTGGCTTTGGGGGGGCTGGGGCAGTTGATGCTGCCCTGAGAAGAGCAAGAAGATGGAACCGACTGACCCAGAGCCATGATTTGGGGGAACGTTGTCCATGTGCAATTTTTAGGTGACAGTTTTTCCTCTGGGATGGCTACAACGGGTATGTAGCAGAAGGAGAATATCTTGTTAAGCGAAGATGGCTGAGCTACTGCAAAGTTGCTTGCAAAGGCGTAGAGACTTCACTGTTGGTGACAGTGGTAACTGTTGATAGCGCTGTGAATGACGATCATGGCTTCCCCAGGTTGGCTGCTACACTGTGAACAAGTCCAAGCTCCTTTTCCCTCCCTTTCCATCACACCTGGGTAGTCTCCATTTTCCACCTCTCTGGTGCTGCTGCGGTGGTTCCAGAGGGTCTCTGGCCATCTTGGAGGAGATGGAAGCACTGGTGCGGGTAGGAGACCTGGCAGAGGGCAGTGACTCCGCACTGACAGAGTAAGGGAGGAAAGGGGGCAATGAAAGGGGGCCATGTGGTTTGTAAAGGTGTAACGGAGAAGTTCAAGGCATAACATCTATTACCTGCCTATCTCCGTCCCTGTAATGTCTTTACTTCTGCTTCCCCAGGGCTGATCTTGCCGTGCCCCGCCAATGGTCGAACTGATTATCGGAAGTTAAGTTAAATCCAAAGCACTTGCTCACAACCCAGTTTGAACCCAGCTCCGTGTCTCCCCCTCCTAACTGGACAGGTCAGAATTTGGGCTGGGAAAAAACAAACTTCTCGGAGATTGTTCCTTGTCCAACGGGAAGGGTGGTAGTGAGTAGGGTGAAAACCCTATGAAGGGCTGAATGATTTATGGTGTTAAGGCAGGGGGTCGCAGTGAGGTGTACGTGCCAGCCCCTTGGGTTGTACGCCAGCCCAGACCTTGTCGCTGACATCTGATGGCACCCTCGGTCTTCTCAAACCTATTTGATATGAATGGTTTGCTAGAAATCAGCCTTGATGAAGCACTTTTTCGCCAGCTATGGAGCAAGCATGAGCGTTTGCTCCCCGGTGTGGTATTGGGAAGAAGCTGGAGGAACGATTGTATGGTTTGGTTGCAAGATTATCAGTGCTGGGACTTCAGCTCTTGGCGTTAACCCCTACCAAACAATTACACCACGACATTGATGTGGCCTGTGCTAACAGGGGGGTTGTACTCCTTGAACACTTACCCGAGCACTGGAAGAAAGATGGCAGTGGCTTAATTTAACCCTTCTGACCTGGCAGAGGAGCTAAAATGAATGGGTTGAATAGAGAGGAAAGTCTTGCGCGTGTTCCCAAACTGCAGGCAGTTTTTGCTTAAACCATGTATTTTTAGATGAAGAGGAGCATTAAAGGAGTCCTGGAGTGCTACTCAGGTCCATTTTCTTCCAGCGCTTACAGAGATAATAAAATTCCAGCATGAAAATAGCTCCTCATCGGAAGCTTGTGCTCTGATGAGAAACGTGAAGCATCACGGCATTTATGCAAGAGGGGCCATGGTATTGCTTTCAGTGAGGGTTTAAAAGTAAATAGTCTCATTTTAGTTGGGTAAAAAGTCTCATTTTAGTTGAGTTTGTGAGAATCACTTAGCAAAACAGTGTTCGTGGACAGAGAATGATCACTTCTGAGATTGCAGGGCCTGGTTCTCCCCATGGGCACACCTGCAGGTGCTTTGGGAAGCCTGGCCGCCGCTGCAATGGTGTCCAGCAGGACACAGCGAGGGTGTAGATCCCACCCTGCCGGGTGGCTGCGGCATTCTGGTCGCACGACCTCCACAAGATGTCAGTGTAGATTTATTGGATTAGATATAAAATCCTTGTGCTGTTCCCCCTGCCTGATTAAAGCAAAAACTGTTTTACAGCTGCACAATAGGTTTGATTGTGCTGTGGAATGTGTCGCCCGTGGAGGAGCGACATGGCGAGCGCTGGCGTCCGGGGAGGGGTGCGAGTGACGCCCCAAAATGGGAGCAGAGCTCCTGGCAAAAAAGGGCAACGCTTTGCTTATATCAAGGTGCCCTTACTCCCTTGGGGACGAGTTGCATACGTGTAATATGCAATATTGCACT